GGATGCACAGGGATTAGGTGATAAGTCACATGCAGTAGTAGGACCATTTGAACTATTTAGAGTATCCTGTGTGCCATTTTTAACAAAAACATCCAAAATATCAATGAAATAAGGTGACTGCAACAATGAAATAGGGGAAACAGTTGTAGTTGCAGGGGCATTATTAAAAGGAAAAATATTTTCATGAAAAACAACATCTCTGGAGATATGTATTTTACCTGTAGACATATTTAGGACTTTGTACCCTTTTGTCTCATGAGGATATCCAATGAAAATATGAGGAGTAGTTCTTGGTTCAAACTTAGCTCTATGAGGTATGGGTACAGTAGGATAACAAAGACATCCAAAACTTCTCATGTGTGAATAGAGGGGTTTTCTGTGGTATAAAATTTCATAGGGACATTTTTTGTTCAACACAGTGGATGGGAGCCTATTTATTATGTATGTTGCACAGAGAATGCACTCTCCCCAATACTTAACAGGAAGTTTAGACTGAAACAACAGTGCTCTAGCAGTCTCAAGAAGGTGTTTGTGTTTTCTCTCCACCACACCATTTTGTTGTGGTGTGTAGGGACAAGTTTTCTGGTGAAGTATACCTTTGGTTTGAAAATAAAAGGTTGCCTCTGTATTGATAAATTCCAGACCATTGTCTGTTCTGATTGTTTTGACAGTGGTTTCAAATTGGTTTTCTACCATAGCAATGAAGGCTTTGAGAGTTTGTAAAGCATTGCTCTTAGTACTTAACAACTGAGTCCAAGTGGACCTACTAAAGTCATCCACAATAGTGATGAAATATTTAAAGTGGTTATGTGTTGGTGTATGATAAGGCCCCCACAAGTCAACATGAAGTAATTCAAAAGTGTGTGAGGTTAGTGTGGTTCGTGGTTTAAAAGGTAGTCTTTCTTGTCTTGCCATAGGGCAAATGGAACACATAAAAGGTTGCTTGGCTGAGAACTTCACAGGGATGGTGGAAATATCTCTCATTTTGACAAAAGGGACATGTCCCAATCTATTATGCCACACAATGTCTACATGATTTCCAGCACATGTTTGAGAACTAGAAGTACAAGAAACTGGACATGGAATAGAACATGACATTTCTTTATTGAGAATAGGAGTACATTGCTTGTTATCTAAAGTCTGAATAGACTGTCTGTTACTACAGTTATTGCAA